ACCTAATGCTCTAAAATCCGTTCTATTGAATACTGTATTGGAAATCTTTTCCGCTCACCCAGTTGTGAAGAAAAAAATTATTGAATTTGCAAAACATTGGCGCTTACAGCGCCAAGGTATAAAAACCTGCCCAAATTCAACAGAAACATTGACATATTTTTGCCTCAGTATGTTTTGGGGAAAGAACAATTGGAAGTGAGAACAAAACACACAAAAAATGAAAGTTTTTGTAAACAATCGCCATAAGGGGTTTTGGGATGTTTCTAAATTTTCTGCAAATTTCCTCAAGTAGTTTTAATCTGACTGTAACAAGGCAATCATTTTCAAGTCTTCATTCAGGTCACTGGGAGAAAAGCCTCCTACTGAGCTTTTGAAACTAGCTATAAATAATAAAACTATGCAAAAAATCTGTTTACAATTATGATGAATATTTAGAGTTCACGTTGAGTCACGTTTCGACCTATTGAAAATATGTCGCCCCAATTAAGTTTCTAACGTTTTGCATTCAAATAATACATATTTATGGAGTGGGTAGCCGACTTTTTATAATCGCGTTTATAGATATTGTGGTGATTATTAGTTTTTGCAAAAACTTGGTATTTAAGCGTTATTAAAATCGACTTTTTTCGATTGGAGGAGTTGCGCTTGGCTTGGACACGTGAAAAGGTGTAGCTGTGTTATTCACACATGATTAAATATGTAGAATATTTGTGTTTAAAGATTGTTTTGCCCTAGATATTTATATCAGTGGGTGTTAACATAAGCTTAGACGCAGTTTTTATTATTAACAAGGTTTACTCCAATTCCATGACTCATTCCTAAAAACAGATAGTTCAACAACATTTTTGTATTCAGCGCATTTCTCCCCTCTGAGGCGCAATCTTTCTGATTACTAATTCATTAGATTGTCTCAGTCCATCAGATTTCGAATCTTGTCCTTGACTTTACGCGTTAAGTTCTGCGATGTAAGATAATAGAAATTCAGCCGATTTGCAAGGCAAAAAACTTAAAAAATGTTCAAATTCAAACCGAATCTTGCGAAGGTCGAACACCAAACCATATATCTTTGTAACCGTATCAACGCAACCAAATAAATATTTCTTAGGTCAGTTTCAGGACGACCTTGTTGAATTATTCGTGTATTGGATAAATTATGTTAGACCATTGTTTTTTAAGGGGGAAAATGTATTTGAATGTAATTTGGCTGGAAAAATATGATGTAAACAGAAGTAAAGCTAGCAATAAATTTGGACACTTGCAGGTCTAGTTCAAGGGTTTTTATCTTCCAAGATTGCTGTACGTCTTCTACTAGCCGACAGAAAATGATAAGACTTTCGACGCCTTTAAAATTGGGCGTAGCGCCTCCCCACGTGCCTCCCTATTGAAATTGGCATAAAAATGGAGCAACTGACCCTTTTTCTTCCAATGCCACGCTTTTGGTTAATTTTGTCTTGCCTTGTTAGATAAATTTGAATAATGTGATAGTTGACTGGGTCTCCCTCCAGTGGACCCCGGAGCCATCTAGGTATCCGCTCGAATTCACACATTCTCCAACGCATCCGCCGAGCAATGGAAAAACCACATTGTTTTTAGACCGGGGAATAAGAAGATAGAAACGGATTGGTCAATATATGAGATTGGTCGCAAATAACGCTCTCAAGTCAGGTCGGGTTTTTGGAAATTGGAACGAAAGGAGCCCTTTTTGTGTTCTTTCGTTCCTTTTCCACATTTAAAATGAATACGGAATGAGGGCGAACTTCGTAGTCAGTTTAACATTATCAAAAATCTGGATTTAGAAGTGGAAAGTTTTTTTAAATAAAATAGACAACAGACGCCAAAAGTTCTAACAACACAAGTCTCTTGGAGGTCTCCCCCACAATGAGGCAATATGATTCAGATGCATTAGCAACATTTACAAAAAATTAAGAATTGTCAGTTTCACAAAATACATTTGCGTAAAATGGCATATTTTTGATTCCCACCTATCAACAACATTTTCCCCATTAGCATTACGCAGATTCCTGCTGCTTTATGCGCAAATCAACAAAGGTAGCAAGCAAATAGAAGAAACACGCCCGTCTTAATAATCGAACTATAAACTAGTCACTTTCAGCATCAGTTGAGAACACTTCAATTTTTCAAAATGTACGTTTTCAATTGAATTCCTGAAGCAAGAATCTAAATACTTGTATTTGAATGCCTGTCTACTCTCACTAAATTATACGTAAAATCACAGTCATTTGATAAGTTTAAATTTATCATAACAAGTGAATCCGCGACAATCAACCCCAAGGTGAGTTAAGTGCCAATAACCATATCTGTTTCTATTTAGCAGCAATATTTGCTGCTTGATTTGATTCCAAAGTGTTTTGATAAATAATCAACACTTTAGCTACATGTGAAATCCTGCAATTTATATTCAAACAATTTATGTCGCAGAATTAATCAAATGGATTCCATCTTACCTCCATAAAATATAGCCCAACTAAGTAAAAGTAAAATTAATTCGAAAATACCCAACTGGCCGGATATTAAACTACACCTATATAAGGTACTACATGTAAAGCTGAAAATTATATAATTTTACATGAGCTCGTAATGATTGCTATAATAGTTGAATTTTAATAATTATCAATCAATATAAATTTTTAAATACTGATGTTTCATAACGCTGTAAAAAGCCCCAGGAATGTTTATTTGAACATTAATTCATTTGATATAGTTTCTAGGAAGTTAATAACATAATTATTACAGTTGGTAATTGCATTTTCCATGTAACATTAATGGACTGTTCTGATCCCAACTTCAGTTGGAGCAATTTAATTTAAAATCCTCAAAGTTTCCTAATCATTTTTCGGCTTCCATAAGTAAACGCGTCTGCTTGCATTACAAAGATTTGAAGTTTGTAAAAGTTATTTGTCAGTTTAAACGTTGTTTTCTTTTACGCAAATGGATTTAGTCCTCACTTTTGCATAATTTTTAATTCGGCGTATTTTCAAGAGACTACCAGTTAAGTAGCGGATTGTAAATCGTTCAGATATTTTCTGGATTTGCAAGCTTTTTTAATTCCCATATTTGCTTGAAAGCTACGATTCTTGAAGAGCAGCTGTAGCTTTCCCGTTACAAAAACCATAAACAAACACGCAATTAACATTTTAAATGTTCAATAAGTCTATCATTTTGGTTCTAGAAGCTAAAAAAAGGTTAAATAACTGTTATTGAAGCAGTAAAGCCAACAAGTGTTTTTAAGCTTCGAATATAGTTCGGATTTTAAAATATTTGAATCAACGTTTTGACGATAAGTAGAAAATCATGTAGAATACATTAAGATGGGAATCAGATAGAAGATAGAAAAGTGGTATCTAATAGTAAATATTTTAACTGTGCCCAAAATACAGAAGCAATGATTGTAGCAAAGCGTTAACACAACAGAGAATACATTTTGAAACTTTTCAGCTTGTGCTAATGATTACATTTGTCGATAGCTTCTGAACATTTTACCTAACAAGTTTTTGAATAATGCGACTAAGATTATAATGGATAAAACAAAATTCAGATGAAGAAATGGACAGTTTTCTAAAAAATTGCAACAAGAAATTCATGTACATTTTTTTCTAATGATTCGTTTTTGAAGTTCAATTTTTAGGTCAAATTTGGACTTTCGGACTAAATACCAAACGATTCATAAATTATAATGATTCCAAACTGAACTCAACTTGATATAAAAATTAGGCAAAGTTTTTTTATTGCGCACTTAGCTTAAAACTAATTTTTTTGATTGTAAGTTTGTTATTTGCACAAAAACCTGTAATTAGGTGCTAATGGCCTCAATGTAAAATAATTCGAATTCATATTTTTCGATTATTTTCTCTCATTTGCAGACTCAACTTCAGTTAAACTAGATAACACACGTTTTCTTTGACTCGTCTACGATTTTGTTTAATCATCTGATTCTTCTTGCTGGAATTTTATTTTCTTCATATCATCTAGTACGTTTTCTCAATTTAATTAGAGCATCAGTTTTTAAGAAACCAAATACAATCAAAAACTGTTAATTTTTAAAGCACTGTAGTAACAGACAAGATTTTTTAGTTCACATCGGAACTGCCTGGGCAGTGAATTACTATAGCGTATTATTGATAGTGAATTTTTATGTAAATGAAGTTAAAACAAACAAGTAGGTGGACTGTGCAATGCACGTTTCCATTACATAATGCGATGATCGAATCACGTGTGACATTTACCGGGTAGAAAATAAAAATAAGAATAAATAACAGGTACGTGAATTAAATTAAGTTTTTTATATGCAGAAACGGTAGTTTTCTTGATTGAGAAGGCGTATTAACAGGAATTTTATAGCTTTTTTTACAGAACTGAACCATTTGAAAGTAAACGATTGTTATAATGCAATGTCACGGCATCGTCCATTAATAATATTTTACAGGATTTTCCTTTTTTCTGCTATCCGCATTATTTATTACGGTAAAATTACCTCATAGGGCTTTTTTCTTACGTCTCCTGATTAACTCACTGATCAGCCATGAAATATTGATATTGTATCGAAGTGATTTTATTACACGAACATGTGCCAATCTATGTTGTGTCACATATCAAGCAAGTCCAGATATTACATAGAGGAATTTACATGGAAAAAACACAAAAATGTCCGTATTGGCCTATTTATAAGGCCCCACACACTACAATACTAATTAAAGGACACAGTGATCCGATAAATCTAGATCAAAGCTTTATTTCTAACATGAAAAAACCACAGAGCTAATGATTTAATTGCTGTTATGCATCTGATTTGCAATTGTCAGGCTTATGTGAAAAATTCAGCCCATGACATTTAAAGGCGAATTAATTATGAGCCGATAATGATGTAAAACAATTACATTATATTGGGCCAGGATCTTTGTATGTTGCGCAACAGGAAAAATGTTGCCGGCATCATTTGCATATAATACCGGATTTATTTATTAATTTTTTCTGGTACTTACCCTGCATAAAATATCAGCCATTATCATCCGTCCCTCGGCATCGGTGTTGATAATTCGCACTCTAGCTCCCGATCTTGCAGTTATAACTTCGTCAGCCACGTAGCTGTTTGAGCCGATGCTATTTCTGCAAATCAAAGTCTTGCTCAATGTGTGAGCGACAGGATTTTGAAACATTCACAAACCTCACAATGCCCACTCCTGCCACAACTCGAACATTCTTCGGCTGCAGAAGATTCACTACCTGGAGGAATCCCAACACGGCAGCTGCTCCACATTTGTCTCTGGACATTCCCACCATATGTCCTCCGACTTTAACATCAGCACCGCCAGTATCATAAGTAACACCTGAAAAAAACATCTCTAACTCAGAAACTTGAGGATTATTGTGGTTCCTGACAAATCGGCGTAGTTCATTATGTAAAGTTTTTTAAGCTGACTTACTTTAGAGTGGCGGATTGTATAAAAAAGGTTGACAATAAATTAGGGAAAGTTTACTGCCATTAAAGCTAAACAATTTCTATTAAAAAAGAACATCGAAAATGCATTTTGCATGAGTAAAATTTGTTTGGGGCATTTCGTACTAGCTAAGTAACTACTAAATGGCGAACTTTGCAGGACTATTTTGGGGGAACTTCGATGTGTGTCTGGAAGCGCAATTTACTATGTCGAACTTTCCACAAGCTTTTTTCAACGCCTTTTGGTTCTAGAATGATTCCCACTTCATCGAACTATTGAGTCAATTTTTACAATACTGCCGAAGAAATTGAGCGTAATTATAAAACGTTTTTTAAAAAAAACCTTTTATGCTCTGAAACAGATTTTTTTGGTATCCGCAATTTATTTTTACTGGTTAATTCGATAAATATATTTTTTATCCCTGGCCTGTTACCTTTTCCAACCAGAAACAGCGTTTCTTTGGGTGTTTCTGGCGGTTGATATTCCAGAAAAATAATCCTTCCCTTATGGCGGTCTTGGGAGCTGGCGGCTCTGTTTACGGCCTCAAACAGCGGATATTCTTTCTTAATTCGCTGAATATCACTGATCACCTCCACCTTAATCGAGGAGTTTGCAAATAGGTCAGTCACGTATTCTTCTACTCTCGGCGGCGCCATCCTAAATTAGTAAAAAATGAATTAAACTAAAAAAGTAAGGAAAATATGTCATAATTATATTAGTAAATAGTCTAGTGCATAACATTGTAAATAAGCTGGCGTTATATCAAGTTGAACTTCAACCTCGCTATTGTGCTGAGGAAAAGTACAAACATCGCTTTATTTAAGTACAGAGGCATAATAGATAAGCCCATTATAATATACCCAGAGATAATACCAATATCAGTGGGAATTTTCAGAATTATTACAATAATTAACACTTAATATCAAGTCCCCCACTTGAGATGACTGAGACCAGGGACAAGTTCTCCCTTATCGCTGGCTGAGATTATTCACCTTTCAGGATCGGCGCCTCCTATATCATAAGCAACCCTTTTTCCCGACTCGATAACTGCAGCTAGTTGGACGAGCGATTGGGTTTGGGCCTCGTTGTTTGTCCAAACTCCCAAATAGTCCACTTTTTGTGTCTTCGACGGGTCATGTTCCCGCACCTCCAAAGGCTGCAATTATTTAAACCGTTCAAACTTCCATAACGTAATTTAAAAAGACTGCGCTTTATTACCGTATATAAGCTTCTCAAAACCTCCAGTAGAGTAACGAGAGGTCCATTTGCAAAGGTCTGATTTTCCTCGAGGACCAGCAAAGGTCTTTTGCTGCCTGCTTTCAAGGCCCGTTTAATGCCAGCCGCACCTGCGGTCTGGAAGACGCGTACATCGTCATAATCTGGATCCACTGGGCCTGCAGACAATTCCATTATTATTACGATTACTTTTCTGGGAATATTTCTATACATACCCGTAGGGGCATAAATGAATCGCTTAGCTGGCAGCTGAACCGGCAGCAAAGCTAGCTCAGTTTTTAAGGCTGGATCGAGCTCTAAGGCTGCTGACACAGCTTTGGAAAGAATGTTGGAGCTGATTTTTTGGTCAGGCGATACGACTAAGATCAGCGAGTCATAATTTGGACTGTCCAAGGAAGGCTCAGCTCGTAGCTGAGTTACTGGGGGTCTAAAACAACATGGTCTTTTGAAGAAAAAGCTGTGTAGCCTGGTTAGTTGCTGGGGCGTTTTATATAGATTTATTAATAACATTGCTTGCAATGTTGATCACACACAATCATGCGATTTACGTTGGTATTAAGCGAGATTTGATAAGTGTTACGCATTCAATGGCATGATTTGCTCAGAGCATACAAGCTGTTTAATCACTGAACTCTTATCTATAGTACAATATATTTATACAATGTATTTGGCTTTGAATCTTAGGTTGGAAACACTTCCTTAACCCAAAAAACATGCATGTGAAATTTAGACTTTTGACCGAATTTTCAAAATTTCCCCCAATTTTCCCCCGGTCAATTTTTTCAATAAATGTAAAATTTTCAAACTGTCTCGAATTTTACGAGAAAAACACGCTCGAATTCAGATCCGAAATATTCCATATTTTTTGTTCAGTTCAAGCGGCTCTTTCGGCGTTCACCATCTTTATCCGACTATATTTTTCTAATTATAGTTACGGACACGTATTAAAAACACACATGTGAAATTTTGACTTTTGTTCAAAATGTTCATAAAGGTGAGCCTGGATTGGAAAAGTTTTTCAAAATATTTAGAATTTTACATCGCTTTTATCTGTAGGAAATGGGGAATGCAACGAGCGTTATTGAAAAACACAGTCGAAGTTACAGCTGCGAAATAATCGACATTTTTGGTTTATTTTAAGCCACTTTTTGTCGCTCTATATTTATTATACATATTATGCATATGCACATTAGGGAGTTTCATAATCGGGGAAAAAACCATTGAGCTCAAAAAATATGCATACAAATGTTTGTTTTTTACCAAAATTTAGGGAATTAAAAAAAGTTCCTCAAAATGTTGCAAATTTTGCTTCATTATCATCTTTAGGAAACGAGGAATGCAACGAGATCAGTGAAAAACACATTCAACATTTCAGATCTGAAATAATTTTTGATTTGTTGTGACAGTTTTGTTCATTTTAAGCGATTTTGAGCAGTCGATTTTTTCTTTACTATAGAAACATTTTATGTATGCATATTAAGGAGCTTCTTTTGCCGCAAAAAATGCAGTGAGCTCAGAAAACACGCACGTGAAATTTTGATTTTTCACCGAAATTTTCATCAGAGTAGGGGTGAATTTTTCAAAAATATAAAAAACGCACTCGAAGTTTCAGATCCGAAATACTCGACATTTTTGGTTCATTTAAGCGGTGTTTGTAATTTCAAACGGACGGTATGTTCCTTATTTTAGACTGGAACTCATTATAAATGCAAATCAGGGAACTTTTCAGACCGAAAAAAATTAAGCGAGCTCCGAAAAACGTAAAATTTAAACTTCTAGCCGAAATTTTCATAAGGTCGATTTTTTTCAAAAATATCAAGTTTCTCAACAAATAATGCAACAAACTCCAAAATTTTTAACCGACGAGATGTTCCTCCTTATAGACTGGAAGCCTTTATAAATCCATATCAGACAACTTAGAATAATCCATTGAGCTAAAAAAACACGCGGTGTTTTTCGATTTTTTCAAAAAGTTTCTCAAAATGACTCAAATTTTCAGTTTCAGTTTCAGAAACACTCGAAGTTTCAGATCCAAAATAATCGACATTTTTGGTTCACTTTAAAGGGTTTTTAACCAACAATATCTTATTATAGCTTCGAACTCATTTATAAGTTAAGCGAAAACCACTCATTACCAGAATGTAAATGTGAACATTTGGCTTTAAGATGCATTTAAAAATAGACCACATTTATTAGGAATAATAGCGAAACAGAAACATATGTTCGCAACTCCTCAAGTTTGTAATTATTTCTACATACGTATCAAATATTTTCCTTATTATTAGACGACACTCGGTGGTTTTTGTAATTTAAATAGTCATTAAACCTTGTTACTTAGCGGTTTTTGCATTATCAGAACAATGGCAAGGTGTTTTTTTTCGAGATAATGATTTCAACATTTAGAACATGTCATACTTCTAATATTTGTATAGTTTGTTGCAATGGTAAATCCTTGTGAATCCCGATAAGATAACGACAAAAAAAAACAAAATTACATGTTAACAGTGAATTAATAATATGTAGTTTTAAAAATAAAATACAGACTTAACTGGAAAAAATCGAAGTTTGGGATACATTTTTAAGGCAATTTTCTAATCAAAATTGCTTAATTTTGACTTTTGAAAGCTGACGAACTTGAATACTAAAAAGGTGTGATTTTCACAGAACCGAAGAACTAGAAAACTGTTGTCTTCCTAAAAACGGTATTAACGATCACCAAAATCAATTTCAAAATCATTCTGGCTAGAAAAAAATACATTGCAGAGTGTGCGCTTAAAGCAACAACAAAAAATGTTTTTGAAAATGTTAAAGAAAAAACAAAGGATAGTTACCCATTGCTGCTGCTGACAGTCATATTGAAGCTCACTGCACACTTTGTTCAGATGCAACCAAGTGAACGAGAGAAACGAAAAATTCAGACCGCGTAATCGATTTTAACGTAAAATAATAAAACGGTTTTTATTTGTTACTAGATGAGTGTGTTTAACAATATGATAATAATCACATTTTCTGCCAACGTTTTAAAGCTTTTGTTGTAAATTAATCTAATGCGGCGTAGGAGGCTATTTTTAGTACTAATTTTGTAAATGCAAGCTAAAAATGATATCTGCTATTGAATTTACGGATTTACTGATTTCCTTGGTGAATAGTGCATGGCCAACATCCCACGTTGTCAGATATTCATTTCCTTGTTCATAGGGACGTGGTTATCAATAATTTTTTTTTAACTATCTTTGTGATATATCATATTCTCGCAAATTATGCATGCAAGAATTTAAGCAACTTGCTATCGCGTGACGAAGATTGAAGATTAAAAAATCTGCAAGCAATATTTGGCAACAGTCTTCGGAAAGTTGTGACCCCTATGCAACAACCAACCACAACCATGCAAAGATCAACAGCTTAGAAACTCATTTCAAAGCGATCCATTTTCACATTTTCGGTTTTTCTCATGGATTTAAACATTTCCTATTAGATGGCAGCATATTGTAGCACTGATGGTTTTTACGTTTGAAAATCGGCAATATTCCATTGTTTGTTCTCTTGTTCAGAGCCCATGAAGATTTAATACACATCGATTCTCTTTAAGGACAAAAGTGTCCTCAAATCTACAGGTTAAATTAAAAAAGCATTGCTACTTTTCATCGTGTTTAGCGCTTTCTAAAAACTTTGAAAATTACATTTGCCTTCGCTTTTTTGTACAGCGCAAGATTGATCCACATTCGCCATTATTGAAAAATAATGAAGCCTCCATAAAGCATTGAATATTCGCCATCCAAATTCATTTCAAATTTTCGATGGCTTCATTCTAGTGACCGACTTGCGAACATTTGAAACGTGCTCGGATTAAAACCGAAGTCTGTCTCCATTCAATGAAACAACCGCATCTAGTTAAATGCTTGAACACCGTTCTTCTCCAAAATCAAGCTTTAATAAAAACAAATAAATTAACAATGCACAAAATAAATATCCGCCGAATCTAATCAGCCAGGAAGATTTTTATGGGCGACTAGTGGATGATCCAGAAGAGCTGGAAGACCCTGGGTAGTAAGCCGAATAGGCCAAGTTCTGGGCCTCGTTGCTAGATCCAGACCAGACTCTTTGGTAGGGTCCTCCAGTGTTGGGTTCCCAGCCTGGTTCGTATGAACTTGGAGGAGCTGTGGAGGGACCTGGAGCTGGAGCTCCGTACAAAGACGCTGGAGGTTCGGGTGCTGGTCCCATGGTCATCATTGGCATAGGCATTCCTATAACGCGCAAATTTAGTGGTTGCGATTGAAGTTGTTCGGAAACATTACCTGATTTGGCGCACAATTGGTAGATGATAAAACCGAGAACTAAAACAATAGCCAATTTGGAGAGGATGAGGGCTTTGAAGGCTTTCAAGCTGGCAAGAGCGACGAAAATGGGCATCAGCAACTTGGTTTTCAGTTTGAAGAGGATCAGGAATGGAAGCAACAGCTTCTTCTTCAGAATTCCTCGGGCTGTCGAAGCAATTTTCGATTTTGTTGAGTTGAATCCCCAGCTTGATACTTACATTGATTTTCATCAGCTACAATATCCAAGCCGGTCGCGGGGTTGTAAACAATGTCGGTGTTCTCAGCGAGGATTTCTGGAACTCGCAGCTTAAACTCTTGGGTTTCTAGTACGCGAGCGGCGCGCTTGTAGATGGCATTGTCAATGTTCTACCAAACAACCCCTGATCAGTAACAGTTTTTAAAAATGCTCATATCATTTCAGTACCTGAACGCTCCTTCCCTCAGACTGCAGGCCCAAAATGTTATCCAAATATTCCAAAACGTATCCCTTAACACACCCCATATCACCACATTTGCTCAGTACCACTGATACCAATTGATCACCCGATCGGGGTGTAACATCTGCAGCCCCTACAGCCACGACAGCCGCTAAAAGTGCACAAGTCAACCTCCACATTTTTTTTGTTGTTGTTGCTCACAGATTGACAGAACACTAATCAATGAATTTTTAATTCGGTGGGTGCAGTTTTATACGACAATCATACCGGGTCACTTTGCATTTCGCTGATTTGTATAATGATTAGGGAGTACCGAATACCTGAGCAAAGATGGTTGGGTTCCGCTAAATAGATCCGGTAGTAGTTGATATTCTAAGCACGGTCAACAGTTCGCTTTTTAAAGATGCTCCTATGTAGAATTCGAAATTCAGGTTGCCATCGGTGCCATGATGGATGAACTTTAAAGAAGTGCGTCTTTGGGTAATAATTCATCGTTATTTTGTCCATTGTACGTTTCGTGAATTCTGAAGTTGATTTTTAGTTTCTCTTTCTTGTAGTCAATACTAACTTGGTCTCGTTTCTAAGTTGCTTCACTTATAGACAGAATTGCTGTCCATACCGTCTGCCAAAAAAAGTGCGTAGACCCAAATTAATACTTGGAAAAAAATTGGAAACTTAAAGCATTAGACGCATATCATCTACACATAGAATTTAAGTTCAGCGAAACGAATTATGGAATTTTTTCCTTTCAATATTAGACTAATTCCTGGATAGAAGAATTGAAATACTTTTTATTAACAGGTATTCAATATTTCAA